TTAGAACATGGAAAGTGAAGAAAGAGATGTTATATATTGCTCTTCAAAAATTGCGGTACACTCTGAAACTGGCCAACAATTATCTATACTGTAATCTCATTCTGAATTACATATTGTCACAAGTCAGGTTGGCCAAGAAACCAATTCTGAGATTTGCCTGCCTGACTTTTACTGGGGAGTTCTCTGAGAAGAACACCTGTGGGTGAGTGAAGGAAGCAGAATTGGGCAAAGAAGAGAGTTGAATTTTATGCAACTGCCAATCCCAAGGGAGGAGCTGTGATGGCCCATCGGAGTTGTCCCCAATTGAGGCAAGAGGTAGCTGGGAATTTGTACCCTAACATAGAGCAGTTATTGGCCCAGAGGATGGGCTGCCTCCAGGGATGGAGTGTAAGCTTGGAGGTGGCAGTTCTCTTTGGGCAAAGGCAATTCCAGGGGAGAGACTCAACTATGATACAAATGCAGGCAACATTCCAGGCAGCTAGGGTAGTGAGTGTCTCATTTCTAAAGAGGAAGATCTGGGTGGCACACATAGCATCTACATTATGTGTGTACACAGCATTTAAAACGGGTACATTAGGATCATCCAAGTAAGCAACCACGATATTATCCAAAGGGCCAGCTATGGCCTAAAATTACTGTATTATCCTGAACATTAACAGAATAACGGTAGTGTGAGCCTAAAAGCTGATACTGGTCATTGTCAAATGAAAGAAAAAAAATCGACCATTTTTCTACCAAAGTCGGAAAGCATAAATAGTATTATGATAACTGAGGTTCTGCCTGGTAATTATTTTCCTGTAGGTATGTTCAAGCAAACAAATACTCCCACTTATAATCCATATTTATGTAGGTATACCTTACTTCGTAGTTAAAAAAGTGAAGAGGCTGCATATAGATGCCTCATATTAGAAAACAAAGTCCACCTCAGTTATCTCTTCTCTCATTACTAACCACCCCTCTTCCCAAGGTCTCTCCTTTCCAGTTAAGAAAATCTCCATTCTAATTAAGAAAATATATATACCAGAATCTATTAATGATTTTCTTAATCCAGCCTCCCCTTGCGCATGTCACACCTCACAATGAAATGCCTTTTGTTTGTTTTTCCCCCTGTTATCCCTTATCTCTGATTAACCTTGTCTCTTCTTTGATCTTTTGTTGTTAAAAGGAAATAGGAATTCCTGATATATTGAGGCCTTATTTCTCACCAATGTGAGGCTTACCAAGTGAAAAAACCTTTTGTTTTAACCCTTAGTGTTGAAAATCATTCTAAATACAGAAGTAGAATTTTCATCCTTGGTAATTCCCCTCATGAATTTACACACCATTTTGCAGATAATTAACTATTTCACAGAGGTTAGAGAAGGTTAAAAAAAAAAAAACTTGTGCTGAAATCACTTCCAAGTATTAATCAATCGTAAATCAAAAGAAAGACCCTTTGAAATTATGTTAGTCAACATGGAAATGGTAATAGTTTGTCTTCAATTTTTCAGGGATTTATCTCTTAAGTGAAACAAAATATGCCAGGACAAAATGGTCCCTACTGACTGTGAACTTTGTAAAGACTCACTGGTATGTAGGCTGGGGGCTGAAATGATTAACAACACTCAAAATAAGCTATTCTTCATAATAACCAGAAATGCCAACATAGGTTAAATAATATAAAGTATAGCAGTCATTAGCCTAGAATGCTTGCTTTTTATATAGTAATGCTTAATATTCAGATATAAGATGTCTGCTCTAACTTCTCAGATTAGGTACAAATTCAACAGTCAACAAAAAAAATCTCATGACTTCTTTTTCTTTGTCTTCACAGTTTGCATATTTTTAAAATTGAGATACAGTTGCTGTACAATATTATATAAGTTACAGGTGTACAAAAAAAAATCTCATGACTTTGACAGTTACCAAAGTGGTGGAAAACTAAAAATGCTATGGCTGGTTAATGAGGGCTAAACAGAAAGAGGTATCCACTCGCTGCTGAACAATGGCCATCAGGCCAAGACACAACAGCATCAAGAACCTTACCTTAATGCACAGGGAAGAATGATGGAAACAAGAAGAAAAAAAGCAAGATGACTGAAAAAAAAAAAACAACAAAGGGCTAAACAGTGCACAGAAATAATAAGAAAACGGCAGATAGCTAACGGGACAATGGATTAAATTCAAGATGGGATAACAGAGAATGGGTAAGACCATGATAGAGGAGCAAAAATAAAGTACTAACCGGAAAAGCAAATCTCTGAGGATGAATGTGTAGTGACACATATTACATCAGCTAGTTGAGACCTCCTATTAACTGTTATAACAGCTACTGGTCAACATAATGGGCAGGAGTCACCAATATATAGTGAGACTCTGTCCACTGTACACTTTACTAAGATCGGAGGGAGTAGGTTATATATTCTGAAATAGCTTCCTTTAAAAAAAACTTTTTTTAATTTTAAAATTTTAGTTGAATAAAATAAAGGCTCAAATTTACTTGAATTATCTAAAGAAAGATAGCTCCTTCAAAGTATTTCATTACTTAGCAATCCGGGTACATAAAATGATGTTATACACAAAGAGAGTAGTAACCATGTATGTTTAGCTCCCAATACAGGTGGTCTCTGTTTGCTCTTTTCTAAGGGTCAGCCTCACAATCTGACTTCCCCAGCAGACAATGAACTTCCCAGGAAAATCCTCAAGATAGCATCAAGTAGCAACTTTGGTCTCCACAGACTAGAGGGCAATCCAGAAGAGTAACATAAATATAGAAGATATATAGCTATTTATCATTATTTAACTTTAAAATATATACATAAGAGAATCCCTGTGTTTGAAAAAAACTCTCAAGGATTCATTATTCCTTGCTATGTTCTTTGATTTGTATACATATTATGAAATTCATTTATGTTAATTTCTAGAGATGAATGCATCTTCTACAATTAGAAATTCACTAGGAACTTAAATACCATTCTGCTATTTCTGGCTTACCAACCTTTCCCCCCCTGCAACCAAAACTAGAAAATGTGATGCTGGGATGAGATGAAGCTTACACTCAGTAAGTACTAATTCTCTCACTTCAGCACCAATTCCACATTTAGAATTTTATAAGAATATAATTTACAAAAATCATCTTCTATGTTAAGATATCTAATATATCCATTTTAATGACATTAACATGGAATAGAAAAATACTCAATGTTTACTATACATATGCTATGTCACATAACTTTTAGTAAGCATGATTTGACCCATGTCATATCTGCCTCTGGATTACAATAAACCATATCATGGCAAAGTCTGACTGTGTTTTGAAGTTGAATGTGGGGGGTGGGGGAGGACTGAGAGAGAGAAGCAGAAAGGGACAGAGTTCTGGAAGAGAGAGGGGAAGGAAGGGAGATAGAAAAGAGAATCAGACTTAGATAAACCTTGAAGGTCAAATACTGAAGTTGAGGGAAGGAGCCATGTCTGATTCTTCTTTGTATCCTCCACACCAGCTAGCACAGTGCCTAAATTCACTGAGCAGTAATTCAGAAAATGTGCTGAATAAATCATTGAATGGAAAATTCTAACAAGAATTCACAGTGGGAAATTACACTCCTTACCCTTACAGTGGAGTACCTTTAGTTAAATTCTATATTATTTGCATATTAACAATTACACTCACTTTTGTATACATTAATTTTCATTTCCTGTGACTGTCCAGTCTTAGGATACTTCCTGAGGCAGGGGAGTAGTTGGTGGATTTCCTTTTGTTTTCCCTCCATCACTTCTGCCAGAAAGCTCTCAACACTGACTAGCCACTCAAAAGTTAACAGACTTCGGTAAATACTGATAAAAAAGTAAGGTCAGTTTTATGCTTTGTGGTTATCATGACGTGGGTCATCAGCATCTGTGAGAGCTACCAATATTTATATATGTTGAAGCAACATGTAAAGATTGAAGTCTACCAGTGACCTTTCTAAATACAGATATCAATATTAAAATTTACAAGATAATATTTAACCCTTCAATCCATTATACAAGGTACTCGACTCTCACTTTTATTTCCAGGTCCTTAAGAGGAGGATCCTAGTGTTATTCATCTGTGTAGGGTCACTGCCTAGCACTGACCCTGCACAATGAATGAAATCTATGACAAAACAATGCATCATCAAACGTAACTGGTATAATGTTATATCAATATTTAACCATAATTATTGTTTAAGTATTAGAATATTAAAGCCATCTGACAGCGTTTGAGTTTAGGCATTTCAAAAAACAACTATATGAGGATAAATAAAAGTTTGTGATATGTAGGAGGAAAAGTAGAAACCTGAGAGATAAGCTTATTTAAAAAATAGTGGGGGGCTTCCCTGGTGGCACAGTGGTTGAGAGTCCGCCTGCCGATGCAGGGGATGTGGGTTCATGCCCCGGTCCGGGAGGATCCCACATGCCACAGAGCGGCTGGGCCCATGAGCCATGGCCGCTGAGCCTGCGCGTCCGGAGCCTGTGCTCCGCAGCGGGAGAGGCCACAGCAGTGAGAGGCCCGCGTACCGCAAAAAAAAATAAATAAATAAATAAATAAAGTAAAATAAAAAAATAAAAAATAGTGGAGGAGGACAAATAAAAGACAAATTTAAAAAAAATAAACATAAGAAGAAAACAAGAGACTTCTATTTATAAACTAGATAGAAGTAATACTTAAAACAAATCATGTGTTCATTTGAAACCACAATAGATAAAAATATTGTCTAATTTTTAAATGTCAAGTTCACAGATAGAATGTGTAATGTAAAAACTCTAATCAAGCTAAGTGTTCCAGGAGCTATATTAAAGCACAGTTTAAACAACAAAATAAAATCCAGATTTGCATTCAGTAAAATAATTTTAAGTTATATGTAAAGACTGTAGATAATAGAATTTTACAAATTAATGCAAATCATCCTAAATTCTAGATAATTAAACATATTTTATATGTCTTTGTGTGGAAACATTTTACAAATACACTGCAAGTAAAGAGTTTTAAACAGTCATACCTGCAAAAGAGTTGTTCTATGGAGTTTCAGTGCCCCCTTTTGATGAATTTTAGCAAAGCATCCTGAACAATAATCTTCTCCACATTCAAGGCATACCTTAAAAGATATTGAAAAATCATACAATCTTATAAAATATGACTTTGAGAAAATACTTGCATAAAAAATTCATTGCTCTCATCTTTACTTCTCCAATTACACACCTAGATGTCAGCCGAATTGAGAAGCCCAAGGAAACGGGACAACATTTGTCTCAGTTAAGATGTAACTTTTAGAAAAATTAACTTATAAACTTTAACTACTCTCATAGCAAAATAAATATAATAGCTGTAAGTAGGTTTTAGATATATGTGTTAGGTGCATGTATGTATGTACAATTTCTGAATAAATCACTAAAAAAACGGCAACCTCAGATCAAACTTCTTAACCTGGTAAAAATTAACAGCAATATCTCCGGGTCAAAACTATTTCATTATGAGTTCTTTTATCTTTCTGTATTGATTTACATGACACAATTAGTTTCAAAGGATGTGTATACTATTTGTCTCCAAAATTCCCCACAGTCTTCTTTGAACGGCACTACTTCACTGGTGATTCTCAAAATGTTGTTTTAAAGCATTCTTAGGAGATTCCTCAAAGGAAAAAAAGTGTAAGAAAAAAAACTGGATGGATCTTCATCAACATGTCAGCAATGTTTATGATTGGTGAAATGATTACAGACAAGTGTATATTTGTCTTGCAAGTTCTCTATGGTGCTAAAATGTCATTCTTTAAATTTGCGGATAAGTTGGAAAATGTGATATATCTCTACCAATGATGGTGCCAAGCAAGGGTGAAAGTGAGAAAAGGAAATGGAATTTTTACTGCAGGAGTAATTACTACTGTGCAGACGTACAGCCACTCTAACACCCTTTACAGTATGATAAAAAAAAATAGTGCAAATGGCTAGTAGCCCCCCTTTTCTTGAGTTTGGCCTAGGTTGAGAACATCCAGTAGTACAAATAAGAAAGCATGAGGCCTGGAGAGACAGTGTCAGAAAGTCTGTGCCAAGGAACTCACACTCCCTTTAGCTCTCTTTCATTTCCTCTCCCTTTAGGGTGCCCACCACCCTTCTCCCCCTCCTTCCTCTCCCCTCTCTCAGGGTATAATAAGCATAAAGCAGCTGGGGCAGACTGGGGAGAGACAGACCAGGTTCTTCTGCCTTGTACGGGTCACTGGTGACCTGATGCGCAATTCAGTGACACTTCTCAAACTGTACCATGCATACAAATATCCTGGGATTTCCTTACAGCGCACACGCTGGTTTGGGAAGTCTGGAATGGGACCCAAGATCCTGCATTCTATTAAGAACCCGGGTGATGCCCATGCAGCTGCTGGGTGCAGACCACACAGGGAGTAAGAAGGCACTAGAGTGTATTGGATGAAGAAAAGGAGACTAAATTTAGGGGGGTATAAATTAGGAGTTTGGGATTAACAGATACACACTACTATATATAAAACAGATAACCAACAAGGACCTACTGTATAGCACAGAGAACTATTCTCAATATTTTTTTATAACCTATAAGAGAAAAGAATCTGAAAAAGAATATATATACAGGGCTTCCCTGGTGGCGCAGTGGTTGAGAATCTGCCTGCCAATGCAGGGGACACGGGTTCGAGCCCTGGTCTGGGAAGATCCCACATGCCGCAGAGCAACTGGGCCCGTGAGCCACAACTACTGAGCCTGCGCGTCTGGAGCCTGTGCTCCGCAATGGTAGAGGCCGCGATAATGAGAGGCCCGCGCACCGCGATGAAGAGTGGCCCCCACTTGCCACAACTAGAGAAAGCCCTCGCACAGAAACAAAGACCCAACACAGCCAAAAATAAATTATTTTTTAAAAAAAGAATATATATACATATATATATCTATCACTTTGCTGTATACCTGAAATTAACACAACATTGTAATTCAACTATACTTCAATAAAAATTAAATAAAACCCAATAAGAGTCCATCAATTTTTTAAAGTTGTATTGCAAGTTCCCACATGATGATGCGGTTACCTACAATAATGTAGCCATGTTTATTAAATATGAAATGATTAGGACAACACTCCAAAAATAGGTTAAAAGAGTAGGAAGTTGTATATAACTAAAATGAAGCTAAAAAGTAAGGGTCAAATAACAATAACAATATCCACAACATTCAGGGAGCACTTACTCATTGTTCTAAGGGCTTCGTATGTTCCATCTCATTTAATTCTCACAATAACCCCATAAGGTTAGCATGACCATTGTACCTCCATTGTGAAGATGAGGCAACAAAGGAACATAATGATTGAGAATTTGTCCAGTCATACAGCTAATGGAGCCAGGATTTCAACCCCAGAGTCTGGTTCAAAGCTTAAGCTCTTACCCAAGACCCACATTACTCATAATCATTGACCATTAATTTCAGTATTAATCATTTATTAGAAAACCTTCATAAAATCTGTAACAAAATAAAGCCAAAATGTCAAATGATTGCATGGTCTGGTATTTATCAAAACCCAAATGTATTTTTCAAATGTGATTATAGCTACACAGAACTGGATTTATAATTTTAGTGGAAGAAAAATAAATACTATCCCTAGTATGGGAACTAATCCTAGCCTTTCAACTCCTGTTTCAAGAGCTATAGTCTCTTAGAGAAATGATGATACAAACATTATCTAAATCCGTAATTTTTAAGTGAAAAATTAAAAGCTATAATTTCACATACACATATGGAAGTATTACTGTATTAACGTAGACTTCAAAATGTATTCTACAACATGTCAGCTAATATTTTAATGAATTTCTCATAAATGTTCGGCACCATTTTTACAATGTAATATAGAGGACTGAGAGTCAGTTTCAGCATATAATTCTAAGCCAAATATTTGCTAACAATAGACTTTCAATGAAAGTAGCCAAACAGATGTTATACTGGAAGATCAAAGCTGGAGTCACAGAGTAAGCTTATATATTTTGTTATACAAGCATATGTGGATTTAAATTGGGTTAAAATGACCGCCAACTGGAAAATCTTTTTAGGTAGTTTGTATAACTGGCAGGAACATACTAAAAATGTGGATAAGGACGCCATTCCACCACAGATGCTTCTTTGACGATGGAGTACTAAAGTGCTGTTTTAGCAAATATCTTTTTAATTTGTTCAAGGCTAGATCACTTATGCTAAGCCTTCAGAATCCATTTGAGTTTAATTAAAGTATCCACATTTGCCAAATTAATATGTAATTTTTAACTATCCATTTCACTTTTGTTATGTAGAAACAGCCTAAAGCCACTGGAATTTCTTTTAAAAATAAGAAATCTGCAAACCTGGGGTTTTATTTTTACCACCAACATATATGAATGCAACATATATAAAATGTGCCAACAACAAAAGGCATACAATTTACTATCTCTTCTCAATGTGCTAGGCACAATGCTAAATACTTCACATGCATTAACCATTATCCTCAATAACTCTGAGGTCGTTATACTACTGTTACCCGTTTTGTCCCATTTTACAAAGGAGAAGACAGAAACAAAAGAATTAAGTCATTTGCTGAAGTTCACATAGCTAACAACAGGTAAAGTTGAGATTCAAACCCCCAAAATGTAAGCTCTTACTCCCTACCTCCCATCCCTGTACAATTTTCCCTGATTAAGGTCCTGTCATAAGATATAGAAAGCTTGACTCTGATTATCCAGTCAGCATGACCATCTAGAATGATGGAAGCTAAGAACACAAGGTAACCTCAGAGTTCAACACTATAGAGTTCATTACATCTACCGAGCTTGAGTTTTTAAATAATTTTTGTGCTTTTAACAAATACCATGGGATATTATTTTCATTTCAGATCAAAGAACATCTTTTCTTAAAATCTTAGTAAATCCTTTAAGAATGGTTAGGGCCTAAACCCTGACTTCTATTTACAACAGTTTTCAGGCAAATCAGTTTTGTAATCACTGCACACTTCATCACTCCCATCTGCTTTCCAGCCAAGGCACATGCCATTTATACTGTCCGGGAATGTCCTTTGCTTGCTTTCCCTTCTCTCTGGAAAAACAGATCCTTTATTTCCAAGTCAAATCTTATCTACATATGCCATATTGTTTGAACTCCATGGCCTTTAAAAAGTGCTCAACATAGAAGAGGATTAATAAGAAATATTGACTCATAGCTCCTATGCAAATACTTTTTCAGATCATGAACAGTGGCATCCAACAATTCAATTCTGCCATAAGACCCTTTTAGCTTTCATACTTCAAACTTCAGGAATATTAGCATTTGTTTATATTTTCTTAACTTTTCTGGATAGGTATAACTTGTTAAAATTCCACCATCATATCAAGTAAGGAGAAAAATAGTATGATGTAGGATGTAAAAGTAAGAGCATTATACCAAGAGCCAGGGTTTTACATTTAATATTATTAGTGCTTTATTAGACTTAAAGCACTCTAACTCTCTGAGCTCAGTTAAAACTGCCATGAAATAAGGCTAGTAATACAATCTTAAACCAGAAGTGATTATAACTAAATTCTCTGAAATTTAATAAATATTAGTTATAGTGATCCACAAACATTAGTTATAATCAAATTCTTTGGGGGAAAACTGCTTCCTAGGAATGTATAATATTTTAATTGCAAAATATATTGGATATCTTCCTTTCAGTTAGCTTCAATGATAACAGTGTTTTCAATAACAGAAACGCTTTAAAGAAATGACTCATTCAACAAACATTTGCTGAGTACCTATTAAATTGCAGGCATAATTCAAGGTGGTAAGCACACAGCAGGGAACAAAAGTAAATCCCTACTCTCATGAAATTTACATTGTGGGTGAGTGGAAAATAAACAAATAAACATACACTAAAGGGTGATAAATGTTATGTAGATGAATGAGGCAGCTTCACAAAACTATAGAGAGTCATCTCAGCTGTTGCTATTTTATAAAGAGCTGTTAGCACAGGCAATGTTTGAGTTGACCTTTATTGATATGAGGAGACCTTGGGGGGAGAAAATTTGATGGGGAAATATTAAGAGTTGAATTTTGAACACACTAAATTAGTGATTTTGGTTAGAAATCCAAGTAGAAGTGTTGATTAGGCAGTCTGAGTTGAAAGTTCAGGGGAGAGATATGAGTTAAAGATGTAAATTTGGGAACCATCAAAATAAAGATGGGCTTTAAAACCAAGAGAGTAGATGAAACTACCTAAAGAACAAGTATAAACAGACTAGAGAAGAGGCCTGAGGACTAAGCCCTGTGGCACTCCAACGTTAAGGGGTCAAGAATACAGAAAAACAACAAAGCCCTACACAGAAAAATACATACCATATGATTCCATTTATATAAATTTCAGTAGGTTTAGCACCACTACATGTATGCTGCTAAAAATCAGAATAGTAGTTGGTTTTGTAGTGGGAGTTAATTGGAAAAGGCACAAGGGAACTTTCTGGGGTATTCTATTATCTTGATGGGGGTGTATACATTTAAAATTTGTCCATTTCACAGTAGGTAAATTATACCTCAATAAAAAAAAAGAGAGAGAGAGAGAGAGACAATGGGAGGAGATAATGTGATGACAGCAAGTGTAGACAACTCTTTAGAAATGTTACTAAAAGGGGTACAGGGGGAGATGTGGGGATCAAAGAAGAATTTCTGTTCCAGTTTTGGTTCGAGAAATACTGCATGTTCTTGTGCTGATAGGCACGATCCAAGGGAGAGAGGACAAAAGTTAGGTGGTGTCTTTAAACAAGAATGAGAGGATGAGATTCAGGGCATCGTGTAGCATTGGCCTTTCCTGGCAGCCTGCACACTTCACCCTTAGTAATGATCATGAAGAAAAAGACATGGCTACCAAGCAGGTTAAGTCGGGACAGGTGTATGAGCCCGTGTGAAAGTCTGATCTTACTCCAGTGTACATACTAGCAGAGCGGCTTTGTTCTCACACTGCCCACAAACCTTCCCTTTTATCTTGGGTTTTTCATGTTCAGAAGAATTTGCCATTTTATAATTAGATGGTTGTTTCACTGGCTCTGAAAGGGAAAAAAAAGACCAATCACATTAAAATACGATGTTCAGTTTTCTGATTGATAAAGGAAATTATGCACATTTCTAAATTCTCAAACAGTATATAAATATTAGTTGCCCAATAAGAATGGCATGTAGCCAAGTCTAATCTTCCCAGTAGACTAGGGAGCCCACAGTCCCCCTCCCACCCACTGTGACCACAGGGCCACACATATCCACCCATATCCATTCTGCTGTAAACTCAGTTGAACTGGACATGTAAAATTACAGAATGTTAAAAACTACGCTTTGGATAGAATTCCCATAGTGTTCTGCCCCATCTCTGGATCAAACTAAAGCCCACACAGAACAACTTCTATAATAAATGTTATATATATTTCTATAATTTGTTCTATCAAATTATCTTAACTATCCAAATTAAATGTTTATCCTCTATTTTAAAAATCTTATTTCTTTTAGAAGTACTGTAAATTCAAATTTTATTTTTGGTTTTTGCTATTTTCAAATAATGTATTAAAATATAAAGCAATTTTCAATATTCTTTTAATTTCCCAGAGTAAAATTTCAATCTATAATTTTATACTGCTAAAATTTTCTTCCTAGAGTTTAAGGAACAATGCTATGAAAGTCCTCACTTTTCAAAAATACTATTATTATGATCATATCCTAAGTTGATTTTTGACATAAAATAAGCACCCCTCCCCAAAATACAGATGAAATATATTTTGAGTATCAAAGATAAAGAGTCACCATTTTGGGGTTTAGAATCTTTATGCTGCATGAACAGTTCTAGCACTTAAATTTTCTATGTAATTCAAATGTAAAAAAAAGAAATTATACCTTCAGCATCTAATAATACAATGGTAAACTGTTTACCTTGAAGCTGCTCCTTCAGTAATTTTAAGTTCACTTTTCCAGCAGAAAGCTGTATTAATAAAATAGATATTGTATGTCAGGTATACAAACTCAAATAAAGTTTAAGTTACTAATAAAAATATTATAAAGCCATAACATTTTGGTGCATCTTGAACAAAACAAACATTTTGAAAGAATAATATGAGATCTTTAATGCATATATAGGAATTTTAATTAAATCAAGAGAAAATTCATAAAAGAAAAATATATTTTGGAAATATATATAAACCAGTTTTTTTTTAAATGTCACAAATTATCTTTAAACAAAAATTACATATCACCATGAAATGATTTTAGGAAAGCACTAGCATTCAGATATTGTAAAGGCTCAGTAAGCCTTTTCTATCTCTGATCTTTCTGAAACACACAAAGCCTAATATTTGTGTAGACTGAATCTAAGCTGAATTCTGACTAAGCTATTCTGCTCACATAACTGTAGAAGCTAATATTATTATCTTAATTGCCCAAATCAGAGAACCACATGTTTAAGCATCATAGGCATAACCTTCAAATATATTATTTGTGATCCCTGACTTTCCCAAGTTGTAGCCAAAAAAATTGAGTAAGTAACAATTATGGATAGGTATTTCAAATAAATAATCACTTAAAATCCTTGGATCTTAGGAGTTTAAGAAACAAAACAGACTCTCCAATTGCACATACTTGCCTTGGTCTTATTAAAACCAACGTCTGAAGTACACACACATTCACGGAGCATGGCGCACACTTATACACACACTGTCAATTCATGCCTCATTTTCAATTTTCAATTTGCATGCTCAATTGCCCAATTTGTACATGAGAATATGAAAATAATGGTTGCCTCTATGTCTATGGCTGTACCAACTGCAGTCATCTTTGAAAATTTAGGCCTAATTATTTTCAGTGAATCTAGTGCTTTTGCTTCAAAAGGGCATTTGTTTGTTCCCATTCTTTAAGGAGCTGCTCAAATGCTATGTACCAAACACAGCAGACAATAGAATTGAAATAATCAATTTTTATGTGAACCACACTTTTATTTTTAAACTGGCAGTGTTGTACAAGTTACAGATAATTTAATCCTATTTTTTATAACCAAATTATCCAATACTATTACCTTAATGATACATCTGAATTGCAACATGATCTATGTGTTTACAGGCTACCTGGGCAGAATGCATATACCAAAGCAAAATGAATTCATTATTAGGGACATGTTATACTTTGTTCTTGTTACTGTGAATAATATTTTTCTGCTCTATGAATATAGCCATATTTACTTCATATGAATCAAACTGTATACAAATATTTCAATGAACAAACTGCTAGCTTACTATTTTTAGGCAAATAGAATTTCCTCCTAAGTCTGATTTTTATCTGTTGGGGAAAGAGATGAGGGTGGAGTAGGGTTGGACCAGGGATACACACACACACAGGCAAACACCATAAAGATATATGGATATGCATATGTGTGTATACATAAAACACCAGGAATTCAATATACTGAAGCCTATACCTTATTAACCCACTTATGACTCCACCAGGAGATGCTGAAGGGGTCCTATCAGGAGTCAGGGCAGCTTAGTGTCTCTACCACGCAGACATATCATCTGGGCCCTTGGGGTCAGACTACGTTGTATTCATCGGCCTCCCTGGCATTCACAAATGCCTCCATCCTGCCACTAATGTCCTAATCCACCGTGCTGGGCCCACACTCCTTCCACAAGCCACCTTTTCAAACATCCTCATTCTTAATCCAATTAGCTACTCAACCTTTGCCATTCTCCACTACTTGTCCTTCCGTCCAGGCTGCTCTGCCCTTCCATGAAGCCCTTATTAAAGAGTCCTTTATCTTATGCCTTAAAAATTTCCTTAAAATATCTCTTCCAAAAGTTCACAGTAACTGGACCCACCTTTCCTCACACTCAACCTTCTCCACAGAACTCTCCAGAGGAAAGAGCTCCATTTCTACCCCCTTTCACTCACCAGGAGAGAAGGAAAATGTTCTCCCTGTTTGCTCCCCAGTGCTGCTTCCAGAATACTGGTCCGCTTTCACCAATACGCGAAGTTGCCTCTACTGAAGGTCCCCACCATCCACTTACCACCTTTATCAATACCCAGGATCCTCTTCCACCTGAAACCTCAGCAGTCTGTTCAGTATTTCTCTCCAGCACATTTCTGGGTGATGATCGTGGAGACTTTACTGTCCATGTTCACCTGATATCCTGATGCTGAAAACCCTCCGACATGCTGACTGCTATGAACATCTAAGTGCCTCCTCAGCCACCTGACCATTATGACCAAACCTTGGACCTAAGCAGCAATCTGAATGGCCATACTTTCAAAATCCCAAACTCAGAGTTTCTCAGTGCAAACTGCAATCTCCTTACCTCCTTCCTCTTAGACCTCCCATCATCTACCAACCATTGTGATGAAATAATAGCAACTGGGTCCCCTACAAATCCATGCTGAATAAGCCCTGTGGGCTCTTATGGCTCTTCAGCAATCCATTCATCCATTTGCTACTAAACCTCAAACATGATTTTCACATGATTTGGCTACTCCAAATCTTCTCCATTCCAAAAACCTCAGATCCACCCCGTTTCCTTTCCTTAATCTGAACAGATGATCTTGCCTTCAAATTTACTAAGAATGTCAAGGTCTTCCTATTAGTATTTTTCCACAGCTTCCTGCCTTACCGCCTGTCAAAAACAACCTCTAAAAATGTACCTTTACTGCCACCTGTTTTCTCTTCCATTTTTCTTGTCTCAGAGAAAATGTGCCCTCCTTCCCCTGGCCAGGCCCCCCTCAAGGAGCTACCTCTTCAAAGCCCTCAGCAACTGGCACCTCTCTCATTTGAATCTTCAATCTTTCTTCCACTAGTGAATCTATCCCTCAGCTACAGATTGGCTCACATCTTCCCCCTGATTCTAAATATATATATATATATACACACACATATATATATATATATACACACACACAGTATTTATATATATAGTATTTGTTTATATATTTTTGTATTATATATATAAAGTCTCCTTGATCCTATTAAAGCCTTGAGAGATCACCCTCTGTTCTCATGTTTACTGAAACTTTAGCCTTTACTCATTGCCACCTGCCTTTCTTTTTCAACCACTTGAAATATATTTTTACATCTGATAACAATCCAACCATCAAATCAAATTTATTGTTTTTAAAAATTCTCATTCTCCATAAATAAACATTTTAATGTGATTTTCAGTTAATATTACAATTGGTTTCACACATATTATCTCACACCTTGCTCAAAACTCTGTGGAGTAGTCAGCAAGTACTGTTATGCATGTTTACAAATATGGTAACAGTAGCCCAAGAAAGGTTACATCATTTGTTTAAAATCACAAAGCTAATGAGATGAGTCAGGATTTTAATCTATATAGTCTACCAAAGGATTTCTTGTTCTTGGTACCACTGACATTTTAGGCCAAATAATTCTTTGTCGTGAGGTCTCCCCAGTGCATTGTAGAATGTTCAGCAGCACCCCTGGCTTGTGGCCACTACACACCATTAGCCAAAAAAATCCCTCTCGGTGGTGATAACTAAAAATGTGTCCAGACATTGCCAAATGTCTCCTGGGGGACAAACTTGCCACCTGTTGAGAAACACTGCTAAAACTAAACCCAACTTTTTCATTACGAATACACCAATCAAGGTTGACTTCTCCATTTTTTTTCTAAAAATGTCCTCCTTTACTTTCATCTCCTATGAAATTACATTACTTTGACTCTATTTCTCCCATTATTTCTCTTCTCAGGCTCCCTTTACTGGAGAGCTGGCAAATTATCTTAGAGCTAGCCTGAAAGCCTGCATTTCAAATCTTGGCCCTGACCCTTGACGTGAGCAAGTTATTTAACTTTTTTGATGTTAAATTACTTCATTTGTGGAACTGGAAAAAATAACAACTGCCTCTTAAGAGTGATATAAGCACTTAATGAGATATAACAGGAAAAGCACTGTTGACTGGTATAAAACAGATAGTGAATAAATATTCAAGTTCTCTTTGCCTCCATATTCTCTGGGCTTTATCCTTCATACCTGCCCTTTATCCTTTACACCTTTCTTATCCTTTTTATAAATTCTTAGAGAGCACATTTACCCTCTCAGCTTCAATTAACACATGAGAATGCAAACAAAACTCTGAAATCTTTGAAATTTGCTAAGAAAGTAGAACTTAAATGTTTTTATTTAAAAAAACAAGGTAAATATGGATGTGTTAATTAACTCGATAGAGGGAATTCACTCACAATGTATATGTATATCAAATCACCGTGTTGTACACTTTAAATATCTTACAATTTTACTTGCCAATTATAAAATAAAGCTGGGAAAAGAAAGTAAGAGAAGGAGGGTAGAAGGGAGGGAGAGAAGGAGGAAGCCAACTATCTAGCTCTAAATCTAAACACCAGAACTTTTCTTTCCAGCTCCTTTATTTTTCTATCTCCTAGGCAATTCATCCTGGAATACCAGTTATATATTTGACTTCTTCTTTTCCTTTCTCACTGTGTTTTGGGTCCATGTTTCCTTTATATTCCTTCTGCTACATTCTCATTCAGACTCTTCTCATCTGACCTTTTAATAGACTTATAAATAGTCTCTCTGCTTCTATATCAGTGGCCTCCAAAGTAGCATGTATACATGCCTGAGGGAGCTCGGAAAAGATCAAAGAGAAGAAAAGAAGCATCTATTCATGTTTATATCATCCTTGATTAATTTCCATATTTTGTTTTACAATGAACATGACATATTAGCATGCATATAAATAAATTATATTTATAAGTAGATAAAAAATTCATGGATAGAAAGTCCATTCTCAAAATATATTCTTTTTTTTTTTTTTTTTTTTGCGGTACGCGGGCCTCTCACTGTTGTGGCCTCTCCCATTGCGGAGCGCAGGCTCAGCGGCCATGGCTCACAGGCCCAGCCGCTCCGCGGCATGTGGGATCTTCCCAGACCGGGGCACGAACCCGTGTCCCCTGCATCGGCAGGCGGACTCTCAACCACTGCACCACCAGGGGAGCCCTCAAAATATATTCTTTATTGCTGTGGTACATGATCAAAAGAGTTTGAATATCATTTGCTCTAAACTCTACTTATATAAACTTCAAATGCACTGGATATTAACAAGATCAACCATCATACATCATTACCTTAAACTTGCTACTCTCCTGCTTCAAAGTTGTCAGGGAATTCTATTCACCCAGTGAAAAAGTCAACACTCCTGAGTCTGGTATTCAGGCCTCCTACCCTCCTGCCCAATCTTATTTCTACTCCCACCTTCTGTAACTCCCCAACCCCTCATGCTTTCATCATCAATTATGAGGTTTATGGGAATGGGCATTATGATTTATTCATCACTTTTCCTTACAAATATATCTAGTACACTCTCAAACATTTGTAGAGCTAAACTATTATTTCCCAAGCACAAATACACTACAGGGCAAAAATTATATAGTGAGTTTTCCTATAAATATTTACATATGTGCATCATCTTTTACATTAGGTAAGGATATCCTTGAGAACAAGGATAATTCAGTATAAGACAAAGAAGCATTAATAAATGCTATTAATAAATAGCAGGGCTTCCCTGGTGGCGCAGTGGTTGAGAGTCCGCCTGCCGATGCAGGGGACACGGGTTCGTGCCCCGGTACGGGAAGATCTCACATGTCGCGGAGCAGCTGGGCCTGTGAGCCATGGCCGCTGAGCCTGCGCGTCCGGAGCCTGCTGCTCCACAACAGGAGAGGCCACAACAGTGAGAGGCCCGCATACTGCAAAAATAAATAAATAAATAAATAAATACCATTAATAAATGTTATTGAATAAATAATAATCACAGAGTCAGCACTTTTAATATATTTACAACAACATCTAAAGTATGGAACACTGTCTCAGAAAGATAGTGAAAAATGCAAAGTGGATTATAAAACTTTTAATGCAAAAATTAAAGAAACATATCTCAGTAAGAGAATGACATTAAAGAATAAAATGCCTTTTCTAAGCCAAAAATGTTAGAAGTGCCAAGATGTCTGTAGATGCCAACTGACCCAATGAAAGTTTAATGATAGGTATATAAAAAAGAAAAAGCTATAGAAGTTAAAACTTACAAAGTCACAGATTTTGTACTAAAGAATCCAGAAGCAAAACAGTTTTCTTTACATAAGGACACTCATTTGCCTTTAACCTTAAATATTATGTAATGTTATATTTTACAATACACAGTAAAGATAAAGCAATTCTATGGCTGGGGAATTTTAAAGCATTTTCCCTTGGGTATCTTCACATATGGAATCAACAGTTTATGAATAATTATTATTCCAGCAGAACATAAATACATTAAATAAATGTGATATAACAAAAAGGCAGAAAAAAGTCTGTCCTTTGTTATATCAAATAATTTTGCTTTCACCTTAATATAGAACTACATAGTTCTATTTCACATACTAAAAATCAGAACTGAACTGAATGGAAAAATTCAGTTTAGAAAATTCACCTGAAGATGAATTTTTAAAAATCAACTTTCAGATGAAAAACAAAAACATATCTGAATAGTGAAAGCTGCATATTAGCCCATAAAATACAATTGAAATCCAATAACATGCAAACTTGTTAAAACAAGAATAGGAGGTTCTTAAGTATGGAAGGGAATGCAAGATCTGAAAAAATAATTTATATCTTCTCAGCAAACTGCCTAAGAATCAAATGGTATTTTCTTACCTTAATAACATTTCCTTTATTTTGTGACATCATGCATGATTGATTACCCAATCTGCCCACTTGTGCAGATTTCCAGCGACATCCACTTGACCTTCAATATATATGAACAGAAGACAAAATGTAATTACTAAATATATTTCTCGTTTTAATGAAAACAAATATATTTTCCCTGTTTCAGAAAATGGAAATTCAGTTGTTAACATTTAACAGACCACCACAAAATGAAAATGAAATATCAAGAATGCCACAATATCCTCAGTAATTCTAAAATATAGCTCTGTTATATTTGGAACTTTTGAGAAGAAATGAATAAAAGTGAAATGTCCAAACACAGATGAAGAATTTCATTTTTTAGACATTTACAATGACTAAAGATAGCTTTACTGATTTACAGGAAATGTTACAGATTGTCATGCAGTTTTAAAAGCTAAGTGTTCACAAATGCAAAGAGAAAAAGGAAGCAAAACAAGACCCCCCAAAATTCAGCAGATCTACTATGTGATGAATTCCTATTAAGACTTCAAATTAGCTCCCACAGCAAAAGGTAACAGAGCTTGCAAAGAAGGCAAACTTTCGTTTTACAGTTTTCAAAGTACTTTTATTTGAGCCTCACAAAATCTTTTGAAGTCAACAGAGCAGGGAGGCCAATTCCCATTTTAAATAATAATGAGAGAAAAACTTGCCCAAAGCCACAGAAATAATAAATCATAAAACCAAGATTGGATAACCAGACTTTCCGTCTTCCTGACCAGTGACTAGCAGGTTCTCATTCCGGCTGTGACATTTACTATCTGTGTGACCTTAGAAAAGCATTTAACTATTCTGAAAACCCAGTCAATCTTTAGAACATTTTTGAAAACATCTAGAAAAGGTTCCTCAACTAGTGAACATTTACTCTTGGGGGCTCATTTCAGGAACTCTGATTCACAGATATATTCATGATCCACTGAGAAGCCCAAACTAAATCCAAATTAGTGAAGGTTTAAAAAAATAAGAAAGAGGGCTTCCCTGGTGGCGCAGTGGTTGGGGGTCTGCCTGCCGATGCAGGGGACGCGGGTTCGTGCCCCGGTCCAGGAGGGTCCCACATGCTGCGGAGCCACTGGGCCCATGGGCCGTGGCCGCTGGGCCTGCGTGTCCGGAGCCTGTGCTCCGCGGCGGGAGAGGCCACAGCAGTGAGAGGCCCGCGTGCCGCAAAAAAAAAAAAAAATCTTTAAAAAAATAAGAAAGAAAACAAAAAAACACAATAAAAAAAGAGAACTGGCCATTGGATCATTAGGATAAGAGCAGCAAGATACAGAATAAACTTTGTCACCTGGGATGTACTACATTGAGATGACTTTGATTAAACCCATACTCTGGTTATTAGAAAGGTTGTGTGTATAGCTCATGAATACTCTTTCACAGAGTTAATCTCTAAAGACAAACACTACTAAAACTATAATAAACCTTTGAATTTTCTTTAATGGTTCAGAAGGTACTTTATAGATATTTGAGAATCATCATTTTGAATACTAAACAAAAGCAAATTTAATACACAAAGAGTCTGGTAATATTTAGTACCACCAAAAGCATATGAAATATGCCCATTCATTCTCTGTAGGAGAAAGTTATGCACTTTTGAAGCCTATTTGAAAGGAATTCTCCAATGTCTACCAAAATGTAAACTGCCATATACTTTGACCTAAAATTACATGGGTGGAAATTATCCCATAGATACTCTTATAGATGTAAGCAAAAATATATGTAAAAGCATATTCATGGCAGCATATATAATCACAAAATACTGAAAACTCAATAAAGATATGAAAAATAAATGCTATTATAGCCACACAAAGAAATACTATGCAGCCACTAAAAGAATGAGATCCCTGTGCACTGATGTGGCAAGAGCACTAAGATATATCAAGTAGAAAAGTAGAATGTGAATCCATCCACAGACTTTTATAGATGAACTCATTTGAAAAATGTAAAAGACATGTCAGATACAAACCTACACACACACACACACACACACACACACACACATTCAAACACTTATATATACATAGGCTTGTACAAAGACAAGACATTTGTGGGAAGAAACATTTTAATTGTTAAAAGTGGTACTACACAATGGGCTGGGAGTCAGCCTAAAGTGAAGAAGAGATAATTCTCATTATATAACTATCAGTTATACTTGAGTTTAATTATATTTATGTATTATTTTTACAACAAAGCAAAATGCTCGGTAAAATTAGTACAGATATGCAAGCATAATATTAGAGAAGTCTCATTAATAAAATTTCAGCTAAAGCACATTTGCTAAAAATATTTCAAACATACGTGAGGGTCTGAATGATTCTTATCTATGTGCATGTTAACCCCTGCCCCCCAAAAGTCTTTTAATAAATAAAAATGCCCTACACATAAACTGGCAATCTCCTATTCATGGCAATTTTATGGGAGCAAAGGGCAAGTTCTGCATTGCTGTCCTCAACATTCCAGACTATAACTGGTTCAGAAGAGGAATGTAAGAACAGAAATAAGAACATGTAAGACCAAATAAGGTTCAGAGGAAAGGGACACAAAGAGAAAAAGTAGGGGAAATTTAATATTGCTTGCTCGTCAGGAAAAGCCAGAAATGATTCATTCAGGACAGAGAGTCATTGGAGTGACAATAATATACAAAATAGTTCTTGACATAAGGACTTCAGTTTATAATAAAATTCATTTTATTCCTCTAAAATCCTCTAAAAATGTCACCCACCCTCTTTCTTCCTTTTCTTTGCTCCTTGTCGCTTGGAATTCTTGTAGTTTCTTTTCCATCTCTTGGTTCTCCAACTCTAACTGCACTTTCTCCATTCTCAGTTCTTGAGCATTTCTGAATAAGATTTAAATGCAAAATGTTCATTTGGGGTAAACAAACCAACCCCCCAAAAAGAAAAAAAAAAAGGCAAAGTAAGTTTATATTATGGTTTGCCCTTAATTAAAATTATGAATAATAAATATGTGAAAAACTATTTTAACTACTTCCTTTGTAGTCTTTGAAATATGGTTTCTAAAGTTAGCATTTGCCTTCAATTAATATTCTCCTGAAGCAAGGTATCGCTCCAAATCTTAGACTTTTGTTTTATTACATTGTTAGAGGTCTCAAATCATAATTCATGTTATACATGAGCTATGTCTTTATATATGTACAAATATCCATGACACACAAATAGAAAATAAAATAAAAATTATTTTCTAATTTTCATACTGTCCTTAAAGGATTCAAGTATTAATACTTTGAATCATAGTGTTTAAAATAACTATTCTGTATGGGCAGAATACACATTTTTGCTAAATTAATCATCTTGGAAAACTTCGATAAATTTCTACCTTTATGCCATGTATGTATAATACAAAAAGAGAAAGAGAGAGAGAGAAAGAGAGAGAAGGGCCTGCTTGGAGCCTATTAGGAAGAAAACCCCTATCAAGGGTTTTGGAACAGGAGCCATCAAAGGGATAAATGGGAACTGAGCCAAGCATCACCTATTGTTTCCACTGAAGGAAAGCAACAAGAAGAAAAGTTTCAGAGGGCAGAGCAGAGCCCCCTTACAGATTCCTGTACAAGAGCTTTCGTAATAATATCTGAAGTTCATCAAGCTTTTGACACAAGCTATTTTCTTCATTCTACAATTCTGGTCCCTTGTCAGCCTCAGTCACTGAGTCTCTCTTTCAAGAAGTAAACCAACCTAGTTCTCTAGCTTTCATTCTCTATCATGAGTTTAAATCTCTTCCTTCGTTATTTCATTAGTGTCTTCTTATAATCAAGTAGTGTGGGCTACTTGGGTATGTGTGCCATGGCAAGGAACCAGAATAAGAATAATGAAGATAAGAGAGGGAAATAATTGAGAGGTGGTGAGCAATCCACCAAAGAGCAAGCGGGCCAAAGATATGTCCCCAAGTGGACAGTCCAGGAAGATATATGGAAAGTGACAGGAGGCGAAAACTGTCTAGAGCGTTCAGAGAAGCTGGTGAAGATATTGAGAAAGAGAGGCATTATTTTCATTATATCTGTTCCCCAAGGAGTAATTCAGCCCCTACTACAAACAAGCACTGTCGTAAGTGATAGGATGTGAGACCCAATGGAGCTTCCATTATAGACAGGAACGTAGACAAACGTGAAGGTAATTGAAGTATAGTATAATGGTGTTTTCATTGGAGAAGTACAGGGAGATACTTGAGCACACAGAAAGGGCACATACCCAGCCCGTGGGGCCGTAGGAACAGTACCTGGTGGAAGTGAAGACTAAGCTGAGTCCCAAGGGATGAAAGGACTTAGCCGGTCAAAGGGAAGTGGTGAGAGCAGTGTTCCAGGAAGAAAGAAAAGTGTGGGCACAAGTAGAAAAGAGTGATGTGTGGGTCCAGGAGCTAGAAGTTTCATGTGCCCAGGCATTAAGTGCAGGACGGGGAGAGTGGCAAGAAATGGAGCTGCTGAGGTGGACAGTGGCCAGATTATGAAGAGCTGTGTAGGCCATAATGAGGAATTGGGATTTGTATTCTATTAGCAATAAGAATTTTTAAAAGGTTTTGAGAGAATTGAGACTTGATAATACTTGCACTTTAGAAAGTTCACTCTGGCTGTATAATGGAATATTAATCAGAGGGTGTAAGGCTGAGAGCAAGGCAGCCAGTTAGGAGACTATCTCAGTAATCCTAATCACAGGGAGACTGTGCTGGTCTGACTGGACAGAGACAGTGGAGAGAAAAATGGGAACATTTGAGAAATATAAGAAAATAGAATTAACTGGAGTTGGAGACTGACCGGAAGTAGGTGACTGACCAAGGAAGGGACAAGGAAGGAACCTGAGATAATCCCAAGAGCAACCAGGAGGCCAGTGATGCCATTTCCTGAACTAGTTCACTCTGGGGTGGGCTGGGGACACAGTTCAGGATTAGTGGCCCAAAGTCTCAGTGGCCCACAACACTTTCCACATGGCCTCCAGAGGAAGAGTTCAAAAGCACACATGTGATTGTGTCATTTGTTTGCTTACAAAACTTTTGATGTTTTGAAAGTCCCCACTACGGTAGAGGAAGGGGGTGCGACTGAAGAAAAGCAACTGGCCTACTGACCAAGTGGTCAAGTTGATGGTGCAATTCCATGGGTCTGGAGCAAGACAAAAGATTCTTCCTGGAGACATCCTTAGACACAGAGCCAGAAGGGCAACTAAAGTTGATCCCACAGGCACCGTGTCAACACAACAAATCCAAGAGGCAGAAACAGCCCACAGAAATGGTGTGGAGGCTGGAAAAGAGTAGAGGGGAATTGGAGAACACCAAAACGTAAGACAACATTAAGACAATTGCTGAGACAATGTCAAATAAGATAGACTTGGAAGAAGTAAAGGGCAAGAAAAGAAACTCCAGAGCAATTACCATAGAATGGGTGTTCCCGCCCTAGTTTCTATGGGTTGTGGTTCATGGCTGGACCAGGGAGACATGCAGGCCAGGGAACAGTGATTACCCCTCACCTCCAAGATAAATCCCAAACTCCTTAGTGTGGCATACAAGTTAATTTATTAGCTACATGACTTGCCATTCTCACCAATTTTGTTCTATAAATCTTAGTGAACTGGATATGTCTGAAAGTCCCCAGACTATGTGTCCGTGTGCCTTTGAACAAGTTTCACCCAGTAACTACCCAACTAACTGCATCTTTCAGGCAAAGCTTGGAGACCTCCTCACCCCTGGCCTAGCAGTTTGGGCCATGTTCTCATAGCTACCTGTGCTTTAATATCACACCATGTTTCACACTACTTTGTAAATGTAATTTTACTTATTCACATCCTCCACAAGCTACCTGAGGGCAAAGATTGTGACTTTCTTCTTTTGTACCCATTGTTCCTTAGCACAGTGTATAGACTATGTGTACTTAACAAATGTTTGTTGGATGAATGTTTATAGATATATACACACAGACTTAAAACATATCACCAAAATGCATTGTCCCTTCTCTTTTTGCATTAAAAAAGTAAAATTAGTAATACTAGCAATTGGATAGCTCCCCTCCCTACCAAAAACTAGTAAACCTAATAATGATAATGCCATATAACTTTTTCCAGTTGACAAAATGCTTTTCCACACAGTATCTCAAAAGTAAAGGGAGAATTAGGAAAGCTCTGAAGACACTGAGTACCCATAGGACTATTTATCTGGATCAGGGAACTCAGAAACTAAAATTAAACATTGACAGTCTGCCCCCAACCCATGATGGCTGGCCCTGAATCATATTTGAGAGGAAGGCCTTGGGAATTCCCAGTGACTCTAGATGATCTCAAAGGGAAATGGTATATTGAACCTTCTGGTACCCCTACCATGTCCTGAAATTTCTAGGATACCCAGAATTGCTTGACTCAGTCCAAATGCATCTCCAAGGCAATCTAGGACAGAAGATACCTGTCCTGGGAGAGGTGAATTCAACATAAAGTCCTTTAACAATGCAAAGTGCAAGGGTAGTTAGTGATTTCTCTTCCCTGTTTAAAGGTCTCGTCTCTCACTTTAACAGTCTCCCTAAATTTCAGTTTCTTTCAGTTTCTTCAGGGTGATTCTTTTCTAATTTTGTATAAGTGTTACAAAAATATTTGTAACTTTCTGTTGTATTGCTTCAATAGTTGATGAACCCAATTCGCATAGATTCTTGTGTCATAAGTATTTTTAGTCCTCATTTTTAAACCATTATAGATTTACAATATTTCAAACCTACTGTCTTAAAATAGAGCAATGTGAAGAAAATGGAGATGAGAATTCACAAAATTTTATTTCAACTCTAAACAGCCTCATATGAAAAGAATACTTTAAATTATAAAATACAGAAACTTTAGCAACTATTCTATTTAAGTAATAAACACATATGCACTTACTTATATTTTAGCTTTACAGAATTTCCAGCTTTTCCCCATGGAAGAACCACAAAATCTTTGGTGTTCATGATTACTGTCTTAGTATTGCCTAAAAATTATTGTGATTGGTGGAAACTTCTGAAAAAGTAACAAAGGCAAAAGAATTATGTCAACATAAAGTGGTTAACGTTACAAATTTGAAAATACATATAACTCAGGAAAATTTTTAAACAAGAAAACATTATGAGGGAAAAAAATCGAATCAATGGTTAAACAACAAGAAATTATTATAAATGATAAATGTATTATGTTATACAAATATTTATATGCTAATATAGTTATAACTATAACATATCTGACAGAACTAAAATTTTACCAATAATTATATAGCAAAAGACTGTGGAAACTGAAAGTGAAGAATGAATTCCTTAAGACAAATAGAGCACATATTCTGGCTCTTCCTATGATTAAGATTATAACAATATATATCAGGTATTTGTTCCCAGCCAAAAATAATATCCAAAGCTAGGTAGGTAGTGAAAAGAACCTTAGAAACACAATCCAAACTCGAAAACCTTTTTTTTTTTTTACATATACGGTAATGTAAAATGAGAACTAAGGTATGCAATAATTACCCAAAGGCATTCAAGTATACTCATTTATCAAAGAAAAATTTAATGATGCTCTTTGCCTAAGATCAAAAATTAGCATATTTAGAAAGGATTTTTCAACAAGAAATGAAACAAAAAAGATTTTTTGCCTAACTCCAAGTTAGCCAGAAAATTAAATTATTCAGAACACCCTATTTCCTGAGTATCCCAGTTACTCACGGTTCTACAATAATTTACTCTGTAACGCTGAACTGCTGAATCACATGCACAACTATTAGATTTTTATATGAATCAAAATTTCCAAATTCCAAACACTCTTAAATATGAGGCAATATAATAGAGTCCATAGTCATAAATGCCCAAACCATTTGATACAGTCATTTTATGTATGTGCTCCCATGTGCTCATAACCCCTATAAATATTTATTAAGGTTCTGCTATATGCACAGCACTGTACTGAGAGACATGAAGGAGTCAAGGCCCAAGGAGATCTGTTCTCTGGGCTCAAATAGTGTAGAGTCAAATAGGGCATATAAGACCTATATATCAAAGCCATAAAACAAGGTAGGAATTACAAAGGCTATAAAACTTACAGATGTAAGAGGGGAGCAAAAGAAGAGAATTCAAGCTGGACAGCATTTAAAGTGGGGCTTTAAGGTGAAGGGGGCTAATATATATAAAGATATGGATGGGATGAACTTTCCTCACCGCTAGAAGAAAACAGCTCTTGAATGGAGGGGGAAAAGTAGGTGTAAACTCGGAAATGTAGGCTGAGGCCCAATAATGGGTGACGTTAAATCCCAAGTTAAAGTATTTGTACTGTGTTCTGTAGCTAATGAGAATCACTGAAACTTTTAGAAGGAAGAACAGGAAATAAGCCTAGAAGGTACGCTCAAAGACTTAAGCAGAGAAGACATCAGAACAGGAGCAATCAAGTGTCAGTCTACTGTGACATTAAAATCAACACGATCGAATGAATCGAATCTCTGGGAGATTATTTTACAATTCCAACGATGCAACCACTGATCAAAACATTTTTGGAACGCCTCTTTTGAGACTGTCTGCAGAGTCCATCATATATCCAACAAACACACAAATCTACTTTGCTATACCTCATTCAAAACTAAAAATGATGGTGGCCAGCAGAAGCAACTACTTTGTTTACTCAAATCTAGTTTCAAATTACTCTACCTCCAGAAGTCAGATTTAGCCTGAAAGGGTAGATTTTTAATTCCTTAGAGGAAATTCTAAGGGAATTTATTCTCTGAAGAGAATTCCAAAATGGAATTTATACAAAATAATTTTATACTGTAAGTAATGTAATGGCTGCATCATAGGACAAAGTGTATTTGTGCCTTCAATCAACAGTTATTTAGCTGCTCCTTTGTGAGCCCTATTGTGGGTACTGAAGTTACAATGGTAAATAAGACATGGTGTCCTCCCTCAAAGGACTCACAGTCAAGGGGAAAACACACAAATAAAGACAATACCGTGCGACATTCTGAAAGAAGAAAGTACTTAGGGGAGACGTCTAACTCAGACTCATTTCTCAACCACCAAGTCCTGTCTCTCAAAGCTAAAATCAGTGTCAAAGAAAACCAAAGATACCACAGGAATGAAAAACAAAATTTGGTTTGCTTCTGCCCCTTCTTTGTAGGTAAAACCTTTGTCTCATTTCTATCAGAGACTACAAAAGGCACCTTTTAAAAACTTCTAGGACATAGAGTAACAGAAAGTCTATGTATCCCTTTTTGACCTATATCAGGAAATCCAACAGCTGGACACTCATCTACTGTCAGTAAGTTTTTCGTGAAAAGTTCCATAATGTTATCATTACCATTATCATCAAAAATTAAAATAAAAGAATCCCCAAAGTTAATATGTTTGATTAATTAAAATAACTTAAATTGCCTTAACTTCATTTATGCATTGAGATATACAGTTTTATATGTGTGTGTACATTATGCATAAAGCTGAACTGATACACAAGGACTGAAATGAATGAAAGAAAAATCTGTAAATTTCATTAGGATGAGATGATTCAGATTTATAGCTCTGATGATAATGTGATTTAGCCAATAAATAGCCTTATTCAGGGGGCATTTCACTTCACTGAATGCAATTAGTAAGGCTTCTTCTCAATTAAATGTTTTGTCAAGCCACAAACAAAGGCCAATTTTCTTGCATGAAGAAAAAAAGGAAGATTATAATTGTGAGTCGCGCTCTTCTGCCTGTTTCCTTTCCTGAAACCAACAGAGAATTAGTCACCGTTCTTGGGACAGCAAGGATATAACAATGTCAGCAGGAAAAATTGCAAGGCACAAAACTTTAGTCACTTAATGGAACCATGGAAATACAGATATACTCTCTGTTATGCAAACCTCATAATTCCATGTGTCCCTTGATCAATAAATTTCTTCTTATAATTGAATATCAAAAGTTCAGTAGTTATTTGGAAAATTTTCTAGTTACCTGATTTATTAGACTGCATCATTTTTGTCCCCAACCTTCTTCTTCCCCAGACACATACACACAATATGACCCAGAACTGCCCATGATGGTTTGAAAGATCCTTCTACATAAGTTCGCATTTTGGGAAAGCAACCCAAGCATCAAGGCCTGCCACGACAGAATGGAAACAAGGAATTTATGCTCTATAAATCTGCAAACTCAGAGTATTCAAGAGCTGCCCTAGGCTCAGAGAATTTATCATCACACCATTGGCAGAATGGGATATTTGGGAAACCACTGTTTTAATATAACTGAAAACTTATCTAAGGTTAGTTGATTCTTCTAACAACCCAGATCATCTTAGAGCTGAAAACTTAAAAGTTTTCAATAAATAAGGATTTTTCCTTACTTTAGCACATACTTTCAAGGGGTCTAATAAGTAAGCTTTTGGGGATGGGTATTTACCAGAGTATTTAGAAATCAAAGGCCTAAGCAAGAAACGTTAAATGAAAATGCATTTAATTAAAAATAGTCAAATTGATAAAAGAATTTTAACAGTTTCTCTGCCTGATATAATCCTTATTTTAAATATATATGTGTATATATATATATATTTTTTAATCTAAGGAAAGGACTAATCTAAGGACATGTGGTCCTTAGCATAACATCTTATGCTTGAGTGCCCTACTAAATAAATATATGTCATTTTCTCCTACCATAGACCCTGAAAGTAAATCAGAGATTAACATCCAGGCTGCATTCAATCTTTCAACCAACCAAAATATCTGATAATTAAACACTGCTTCAGGGCACTAAATGGTACCCAAGTCACCCACTTTTTACCTTCTATGTGCCAGTTCCCTTGAGAACAACTGAAAAAGTTTGGCTTTAAATATCAAGGGGCAAGATATCCTTTTAAGATAATTTCTGACTAAAAATGATAAGCAGTTCCATGAAGAATAACAATGGAATATTACTCAGCCCTGAAAAAGACTGAAATAAGGCCATTTGTAGCAACACGGATCGACGTAGAGATTATCATACTAAGTGAAGTAAGTCAGAGAAAGACAAATATCATATGATACCGCTTATATATGGAATCTAAAAAAATGACACAAATGAACTTATTTACAAAACAGAAATGACTCACAGACATTGAAAACAAACTTGTGTTTACCAAAGGGGGAAGGGTAGGGGAAGGGATAAATTAGGAGTTTGGGATTAAAATATACACACTACTATATACAAAATAGATAACCAACAAGGATCTACTGTACAGCACAGGGAACTATACTCAATATCTTGTAATAACCTATAATGGAAAAGAATATATATATATATAACTGAATTACTTTGCTGTACACCTGAAACCAATACATTTTAAATGAACTATATTTCAATAAAAATTGTTTTAAATAAAATAAAAATGATAAGTGATATTAAAAGATGCTGGGTTTAAGTTCAGAAGACCTTTGTGTTAGAGGGTCTCTGAGCTTCAGTTTGTTTATCCAGTATAAAAAGGTAGGGATCTCCCCCTCCCTAATTTGCAGAATACTGAACAAAAGGTCTCTGATTCGTGGCCTATAAAGGGCTTCAGAGAGTTCAGGGTTAGAGAAGGGGGCAGCCTTAGAAACTACCTTGAGAAGCAAATGAGGGGAGCATCAAGGCTCTGATTTACCCACAGCTGCCCTGATTTCATCTATTTTTACATAATGAGCCTCTGGGTCAGAATTAAAGAAACTCTTCTAGAGCTTAAAAAAGTTTGAAAGGCACAATAATAAAGTAATATATAATTATTATTCTGTATCAACTAAAAACTTTATATGATTATAAAAATACAAGTTTAAAATTTATAAATCATACCTTTTAGAAACCTAAGTCCTTTTATATATTTATAGTTTATTTCTCCCATCCATTCTCATACAATCTACTGTTATCCTAGGTGCTCTCTTGTGACTATTTTAGGCATGGGAAAATTAAGGCACCCATCCAAGATTGGTGACAAAGCCAGAAATTACAATTTTATTCTCAGTCCTGTTAGCTCCTCTTAGGATTTAAAATCTAAATTGTTCTACATACTTAAAATAACTAATTCATATCATTCAGATTCTCCCCCGCTTTCATACTCTTAACCTATCATAAAAAGGAAATTTAGAGTAAGAACTCTTTTACCAAAACTATTTTCTAAATTTTACAGCAATTTATTTAAACACCATTGAAACCCTTTTGAGTGTCAGATTGCTCTGTATTTTGCCTCTAAATAGTTCCCCCTAAACACAGGAAAAAAAAATACCCAGCTACTCAGCTTGGTACTTAAGATTCTCCATTATCCATTATGCTTTATTTTCCAATTCTCAGCTCACCAAGTTTTATTCTATTCAGTGCCCAGTTCAAAGGCCACCTCTACCATGAAGGTTTCTTCCATCAGAAACGAGCTGCTCTCCGTTAAGGACATAACGTGTATTACACTCACTTGCTACTATATTCTGTCTTGTGTTATTTTTGCTGCTTTGCTTATATAGATGTTATTTCCCCAAGTATCCCAGATATTTGAGGGTAGTCCTACCATTGATCTTTGAATCCCTAGCAATTAATAGAGTGTCTACACATAGTGTACTGTCTATAATAGTGTTCTAGGATTTAGCATTTAATAGTTTTCTACTGCTTTGAATTTACTGTATAATCAACTCCATGAAAAAAGAATTTAAAACAAACACACCCACTTCAACAAAACTTTTTGTTTTCTTTTTTCCATGTGCCAGGTAACAGGTTAAGCACTGAGGAACAAGGTGAACCAGACAGGTATAGTACTAACCCTCACTAAACTTACACTCTGGTGAAGGAAGTAGGAAAAAATTTAAAAGCAAATAAAATAATTGTAGAAAGTATTAAATGTTTTGAAGGAAATAAAGGACCGAGATTCTTTCAAATAATTAATTTGTAATACAACTGGCAATATTATGGGAGGTCAGGGCAGACCTCTAGTAGCCTCTAAGGTAAGGTGCTAGAGGAAAGTAGAGGTGTGTGCGTTGTGTGTGCTTTCTCACCTTCCATAAGCATACAGTTTACATAGTTTTAATCCTGGGTAGCGATCAACTTTATAGGATTTTTTTTTAATGAGTCTTGATAACTCCACAAATAAAAAATACATAACTGAACTTACACAGTATATCTAAGCTCCTCTAATGCTGATGGGAGGAAGAATAAAAAACTTCCACAGCTTCAGATTTCTCAGGAATCTGGCACCCCTCACCGTGATCTTTAGGGAGGAGTGGAATTCTAGAATGAAGTGTATGCATGTGGCCGCCCAGGCAGAAATAAGGCTACAAAAGGTGTGATAATGGTTTGTCAGGGCACCAAATTTTTCAAATAAGACTCAAAAAGACTTCATTCGAGGGTTTCCCTGCTGGCGCAGTGGTTGAGAGTCCGCCTGCCGATGCAGGGTATGCGGGTTCGTCGCTGGGCCTGCGCGTCCGGAGCCTGTGCTCCGCAACGGGAGAGGCCACAGCAGTGAGAGGCCCGCGTACCGCAAAAAAAAAAAAAAAAAAAAAAGACTTAATTCGAAAAGGCTGGCTTGTAGAAGGGGTACAAGTGATGTGACGAAGGCCCGGTTTCACTGTTTAGGGTTCACCCTCGTTCATGTCTCCATTAGCATTAAGGGCTGGGAAGTCTTTGCTTTGTAATAAAATAAGACTCCCAACTCCGGCAGTCTAGGCCGCTTCCTGCAGCCCGCGGGCCTGGTACTGTGTCCGGCACAAGGCAGGAGCTCAACAAACACCCGCTGGGCCGGCGCCCCCAGCTCCCCTGGGGCCCAGTATCCTTTCCCGCCTTCCGGCCCGCTCCCCGCACCACCCAGACCCGGCGTGCTGCCCGCTACGCCGACTGCGAGGCCCGCCGCCACCGCAGCCAGCCGACCCACCTGGAGCCCCCAGACGTGTGCGTCACCATCGCCGCCGCATAGAGCTGTCTGGAGCTTCCGCCTTGGTCTCCTTGGTTACCGCGTTACCTCGGTACCCATAGCAACCAGAAGGCTTGGTACTGCGGCGCTCGGCCCGCAGAGGGAGCAAGGGAGCCCTGCAGAGAAGGAGGAAGAGGGAGAGGAGGAGAGGAAGAGAAGGAAAGGGCAGGTGCCGGAAGCTTTGTGCTGGAGTGGGTAACACTTGGCTAACACTTACTGAGCCCCTACCATATTTCAGAAAGTTTGAATAACAACCCAAAATTACAAAGCTAGCAAATGGCAGACGCAAGAAGAATTAACCCAAGTAGTTCAGAACTCCCACATACATACTGTTCAGTCACTCATCAAAGGTCACAATAGGCAAAGTCAGGACTAGAATCTAAGTCTTTGACAAGCCTAGAACTCTCTTTTCCTTACATCAAATACAGGACCCATGGGGGTATGTGAGTTTAAGAGTTGAGAGAGAGAGAGAGATAAAGAGAGGGGGGAGAGAGAGAGAGAATATCAACTCACACTTCTCCAACTTTTCCAGAGTGTCACCTGGGGTGAACTTATTTTTGGCTTCCTAAATATGCTGTCGTTTTTAATCTCTGTTTATATATATGCTGCAAGTAGGATGTCTGGTTGGCTCTGCAGTCAGTCCTAAAAATTTCTATGCTTCTCCACACTGAATCTATCTTGCTACTGGAGTAATAATCTCAAGTATTATAGTTATGACACTAACTCTTGCACCACTGCTTTCCACATTAATGTGCCTGCCAATACTCATTTAAGAACACATCACATATTTTCCCTTGGCAGTCAGCTATATAAGATTATAACCAGCATGGATAAGAAAGACAATGATGGCCATGTGGCTATGACTGGGCTTTGAAATGAAGGCAGACCTGAGTTTGAGTCCTGGTCCTGCCACAACTCACCTACTGTGCGACCTTGGGTAAGCTGTAAGACCCAGTTTAATTGTTAAATGAGGTAAGGATACGTTTAGTTCACACATGGTGTAACATGGAAGAGTAAATGAAACAATGTATGTTAAGTCTTTGGCACTAAGCCAGGCCAACAGTAGGTGCTAAATATTTGAAAAATATGGTGGTTTTGAGGCTATGGTGGTTATCTTACTGTTCATGGTATAAATTCACCAAGTCTTTCTTTTAAATCTAATACAATGACAACTTTCAAGTGGATGTGTAATACTACTAGAAGTTTCTTGTGCAAGACTGTGTTTCTCAGACAGCTG